TACGACTACTACTACTACTACTACTACTACTACTACTACTTATACTACTACTATTACTACTACTACTACTACTACTACTACTACTACTACTACTACTACTACTACTACTACTACTACTACTACTACTACTACTACTACTACTACTACTACTACTACTACTACTACTACTACTACTACTACTACTACTACTACTACTACTACTACTACTACTACTACTACTACTACTACTACTACTACTACTACTACTACTACTACTACTACTACTACTACTACTATTGTGACTGGTGTTGCTATTACTACTGCTACTGCTACTGCTACTGCTACCGCAATTGTTACTGCTATTGGTACTGCCTCGTCCGTTCCCTCGTCCTCCACCGTGAAGTGGACGGGGCATCGGCAAAATGGCGGCAGCCCGTGGCCAAAGTATTACTACTACTCTCTGCGTCCTTGTCCTCCTCGTCCTCCTCCTCTGTTTCCGCTTTCTCCTCCTCCGTGATTTGGACGGGGCATCGGCGAAATGGCGGCAGCCTCTGGACTAGACAACTTCGGACCGTGGAGTGGACGGGGCATCGGCGAAATGGCGCCAGCCTCTGGATATAGACAACTTTGGACCGTGAACTGGACGGGGCATAGGCAAAATGGCGCCAACCTCTGGACTAACTATTACAAATGCTCTTTTCTTCCGTGTCCTCCCCCTCCTCCTCCTCCTCCTCCTCTGCGTCCGCTCCCCCCCCCCCTCCGTGAAGTGGACGGGGCATCGGCGAAATGGCGTCAGCCTCTGGACTAGACAACTTCGGATCGAATCCCCTTTAAACTGACCTTTCCAACGGTTCCGGATGTCCTTCCAGAAACGTTGCCTCGGGCATGTTGGAAAAATGCTCCTCAGGCGGGGCCTCAAGTCTCTAGAAGTGGCCCCAGGTGTGTCCGAACAATAACAATGGGTCGATTCAGGGGTGCCCGAAACATTCCATCAAGAAGCTTTCAGGAGGGGTGGTGGTTTCCGAATGTCCTTCCGTTAACGCTGCCCCTGATATGATCGAACAATGCCCCTCATGCGTGGCCTCAGGTTTCTAGAAGTGGCCCCACGCGTGCCCGAACAATAACACTGCGTCGATTCAGGGGTGCCAAAAAAAATCCCCCCAAGCGGCTTTCAGGAGGGGGATGGATATTTCCGAATGTCTTTCCATTAACGTTGCCTCGGGGCTGGTCGAAAATTGCGCCTCAGGCTTGGCCTCAGGCCTCTAGTAAGGGGAGGAGGGCTAGCAACGGCAGGATAACTTCAACTGTTTCCCCACAGCTGCGCAGATGTCGATCCAACTTGAAGCGCAAGCCGCCCCAAAAATGCAAGCGAGAGCAAGTTGAGAGTTCGAGAGGAGAGATGCGATGATGGGGGGGAGGGCAGGTCCAGAGGATGTACGCGAGATTGGCAACACAGCTAGTGAACAGCAGCAACGTCGAACAAATCCCCGCAGCGATACTTTTCGATCAGCACTGTGCTGATCGTGCGAGGATGTGCAACGGCCCCATGACTCTGAAGCTCTTCCGATGTCCGATTCGTCCGGGTATGCCCAGTATGCAGCTGGATTCCCATGGGTTTCTACTTGATCCTCTGCGATATGCATTAAAAGATGGTGCTATGGGTAAGATTTCCAAAGCACCTCGCTCTTCGCTTCAATGTGGAGCTCTGCGTGCATCGCGATATGCTGCTGCGCAAACAGTGCTATGCGTTTAGGCGATTCGCTAGTCTTCCAGCCCTCCAGTTCCTGGTAAAAACGGCACAGGGCATCAGCGCACCACGACCTCATTTTCTCGTGGGTGCTCTCCCTCGCAGAGAACGACTCTAGGATGAACCTTGCGCACATCAGCATTCGGCGGCTCTCGGCCGCCTGCCCATCAGAAGGCTGGGGGGAATCTCATTCGAGAGGAGGGGGGGGGGGGGGGGGGGGCGGAGATGGGGAGGAGGAGCGGGGAGGAGGGTACGAGAGGCGAGGGGAACAGGGGAGGGATCCGAAGGGAAAGAGGGGACGGGTACACTCCAGGCAAACCAGATCACCCCGTGAAACCGCTGTTGTTTTTGCTAGTCCCGAGTTTGGGGCGTCGGTGGAGGCAGGGGGAATTTATGAGGAGCAGCAGGAAGAGCAGCATCAGCAGAGATGTTGGCACGTTGGGCCTTCAGCTTCATTTGCGGGGCGGCCTTCTCGGCAGAGCGAATCACGCCGACGGCGAGTTGGTTTATAGGGCCCTCGAGCCCGAGATGTCGAGACGAAATTCTAATCATGTTCAGAAGCTCGTCGCGCGTAACAACTGGCGTGCCGTATTTGCCGCCAAGTTCGAAATGTAGTTCTCGGAACATGTTTCCGAGGAGGCTCTGAACGATTCCGAGATCACCTGCGTGCGTAAGATCGGTCACCACCATGTCGAATGTGGAACCTGGTAGCTTAAACAAGCCAACTAAACATTGACGGCCTTCAAAAACATCTCTCATGCAATCAGAGCGCGTGATGAGCGTTTTGCGCCGCGGAGCGGTGCTGCCTGCATTGAGAATGTCTTGGCGAGTACAACGGCAGCGAGAGCAACGCCGAGTTGGAGGAGTTTACCTTGCCACCCCTGCATGCCGAGAGCCTGTTTCAGCCACGCCCAATCGCCCCGTGCTTGGCAACAAAGGGCACGAAACCAAAGCGGCGTCCTAGCGATCGCTGCCCGAGCAGCGCCGCGCTTGAACAGTGAGTCCTGAAATCTGATACCGTCACGCCCCTTATCTGGCATGCGACCTGTAATACAAACCAGGGACACCCACCCCAGAACATCCCAAATTGGTTCGAAAATGCATATGTCGCTGCAGCCGCACATGCATGTATCGCGCTTCGCAAAAAACAGAAAACCAGAATCGGAAATGCGTCGCTGGCCCCTTGCACAAATTCCAGAGCGTTAGATATAGGCTGCCCCGACGCTTGCGAGGGGCAGAACCCCCCCGCGCGCCCAACCCACCGGGAGGAGCAGCATTATCGTTATCAAATCTTCTTACGCCGATCCGCTCACAAAGGTCTTTCAATGACTTCTCTGTCGCAAGTGTGTCGTCAGGGAATGCCGCCCACCGTTCCTCGCCCCCTTCTGGCACAAGCTCTTCAATAATTTCATTTGGTAGTGGAAGGTTGAGTGGGGCCTGGTACTTACAGAAGACACACCCGGCCTTGGAAACGTTGGGCAGCTTGGAGCTCTTGGAAAGAACCCCCATGACATCCCTCGGGGCGGGGGCGGGGCGAGGGGGGGGGGGTGGGGGGGGGGGGGGGGGGGGGGGGGGCGCAGGCAAAAACAGTCGGGCCCCTTGGGACAGCAATCATATCATCGCATCTTCTCTGATGCGCGTGGTTTCTTGTCGATCCGTTGTTTTTCGGTTCTGGATTCCCCCCCCCCATGTGATGCCCCAGGCGCCTATGAGCATTGCCGCGGCGTGTATCCCGAGCGCCAGTCTTAGCCCAGTCGGTAAGATCACCTATATCAGATTGGTCTTCGCACATTGCCCTGGCACCATCACCGACGCGCGCTGCTGGAAGAGCGCGTTGGAGGGGGGGGGGGGGGATTGCCCAGCCAGGTCTCGGTGCTCGACCTGCGCCTGAAACAGAAGGGGGTGGGATCAGGGCCGCAGGGTCCGCAAGGAGGGGGCGGGGGATTGCGATTGCTAACCCAGCCCCGACCTGCGCCGTTTATTATCTTCGCGAACTTCTCGACCTTGTTCCCCATCAAAGTTGAGCTGCCGGCAAATGCCACCGCGTTTCGCCCCCCCCCCCCCGCCCCTGGCGGCGACATGCAGCTAAAAGTCTCGGGTCGAAACAGCAATCGCACCCCCCTCCTCGCACGATAGCGCCCTGACCATCCCAGTGCCCAGGAACGCCGTGTCCGAAGCCAGTTGAAACAGCTTCTCTCGCATCGGGCAATGCCGACGTACCCCCTAGCGAACAGAGTCAAAGCGCAGGCGGAAGATGGGGCAGCGCTGCGGATGAGGCACGGGGGGATATCAGGACGAGGAGGCGAGGAGGAGATAAGAGAGGGGGGGGGAAGGAGGAGGAGGAGGGAGACTAGGAAGAGGATGCAGAGAGGAAGAGCCTGCAACGCAAAAGCTGTCTAATGCCCATGGGTCGATCGCCTGAAATTCAGGCCATCTCCCAATAATGCTGCGAGACGCACTACACCCAGAGACAAATCTTTGAACCTAGCAAAAAAAATCGAGCCTCCTGCCGGCAGCCCGCGCGCGTGAGCCAAGGCTCGACGCTGCCCACTTAAGGCCGCACGTGCCATTCACGTCGCTCCAGGTCTCATTCACGAACTTGTCGTAGCCTTGAACTGGTTTTTTGCCGTTGACGGTCGTCGCGAACTTCTTGAGCTTGCCATCGCCCCAGTCTGAGTCGGGGCGATGGGTTCGCACTCGCAGTGCAGAGCCGCTGGGAGCGATAGCGCACATGCTCCTCCTCCTCTTCCTCCTCCTCCTCACTTATTTCAGAACGTGCTGTAAGTCACCCCGATGACCTTCGGCGATCATGCTCATGGGCGCCTCATCCTTGCATTTTTTTTTTTTTTTTTTTTTTTTTTTTTTTTTTTTTTTTTTTTTTTTTTTTTTTTTTTTTTTTTTTTTTTTTTGTTTTTTTTTTTTTTCTCTCTCTCTCTCTCTCTCTCTCTCTCTCTCTCTCTGGATGGCCCTCTGTGGTGCCATGGCAATCGGTTTTCCCAGACCTCCATCGCGAGAAAAGAAGAGGTGGTGGTGTTCCCGCGGGGAACATTCTCCTTCCCTCATCCTCCTCCTCCAGCTCCCCCACCCCCCCCACCCCCACCCCCTATTCATCGCCCCCCCCCCCCCTTCCCCCGCCCCCCCCCCCCCCCCCTTCGCGAGGCGTTTGTACGTCAGGCCTGGAGAGGCTCGACCTTGCCCAGCTGCCCCACGACCTGGGCCGCCACGAAGTCGCCCATGACAGCTGGTAGGTTCTTCTTCGCCGACGCTCCTTGACCCAATCGATGTCGCGCATCTCGTTCAGGACCCCGTCGCTGCAAGCCTTGAGCCCCCTCAGAATTCTGTTCTTGGAGGCCAGGCGGTTGCGCGCGGCCTCCCGGGATGCCCCCGCGAGTCTATATTATTCGGTCTCGCTCCCAGGCGGAGATTTGACCTTCTTCGGGTTCTTCCCCTTGGGGTCGGGGGCGGCGGCGCCCTCTGCGAGCGTCGGGCGCTTCAAGGCGTTGGCCGTGGCACGCTGCGCCTGATTGTGCTGGCCTGGGTCCATCTCCGCCTCCGTTTTGACTGTGCTCTTCTCCTCGATGCTGTTTATGCGCGTGGGCATCCCCTTGGTGAACCTGTATTCCTCTTTTCCTGCTGCGGCAAGACTAGGGCGGCGATGGGGGCGAGAGTCCAATTCGCCAGGTTCACGTAATTTCTTAGCAGCATATGGTCCGTTCAACCATTGCGGACTTGCGAGCTGCTTCTCTGTTAACCATTCGTCGGTCTCCTTCCCCATGTCGCGTTTGGTCACGGTCGCGCTGCTCTCAGCCAAGCTGCCGCCTGTGCTCGGGTCGACGGCGAACTTTGCCAGCCAGTTCCTGCGGTCTTCATCCCCTTTCAGCACGTTGTACTCCTTCAGGGCATTGTCATCTGAGCGCTTGGAGAGCTGGTAGCGGAGCGCGCTGAAGGTATCGTCGACCTCTTTCTTGGACAACTTGGAGAAGGAATCGGCGTTGAGGTCTGCTAAATCGACGCCATGACTACTGGTGCGGACTCGTTGGACCACTCTCGGAAATTTGTCATCGACCTGAGTGGGGGCGAGTGCGGTCTTGGGTTTGGCGGGGGCATCCTCGGAAGCATTGGGGGCCTTGGTTTCCGCCTTGGGTTCTGCCGTGGGTTCCGCGGCCCCCCTTGGGTTTCGCGCCCCCCTCGGTTGTTGGCGCCATTGTCAACTGAGAAAGGCATCGCCAGCGCGGTGAGGCGCGGCGGCAGCCCAGAACAGCTTCGAGCCTAAGCACGGCTACAAAGAGGGGGTAATGGGCCGCGCCCAATCGCCCAGGATAAGACTCAGTCTTACTGCGAGGCCTCATTGTTAAGAGAAGGAGGTCGGAGGTGGCGGAGGGCGCGGAAGTCCGAGGTTGAGGGGGGGGGGGGGGGGGAGGGAAAAGGGGGGGGGCGAAGGGGGGGCGAAGGGGGGGGGGGGAGGAGTAGGAGGTCGGAAGGGGGGGGCGAAGGGCATGACATCTGGGTGTTTTTTTTTTTTTTTCATTTTTCCAGGACCTGAAACTATTCAGAAACTAACTCTGGCGTCCCAAAAGACACCCGGGCCCCCGCGCCCGGGCACCTGGAGGCCGGCCAAGGCCGGCCACGCCGCCAAATTCATGGGACAATTCATAAACAAAAAACAAAAATTAGCCTGACGAAGGACCCAACCATGTGCAGGTGTGAATACCGCAGTTGACACTGCCAATTTCGGTGGGGCTCCCTATAGGGCCAAGAAACGTGTGAAGGGGATGGGTGTGCGGGACGCATGCGGGCGGCAGCGCTGGGGCCTTCGGTGGAGCTCCCTATGGGGCCACGAAACGTGTGAGGGAGTTCACGAAATGGGTGTGGCTGACGCATGCGGGCGCGGGCACTGGGGCCTTCGGTGGAGCTCCCTATGGGACCGCGAAACGTGTGAGGGGTGTGCCGAAATGGGTGTGGCTGGCGCATGCGGGCGCGGGCACTTGGGCCTTCGGCGGAGCTCCCTATGGGGCCACGAAACGTGTGAGGGGTGTGCCGAAATAGGTGTGGCTGACGCATGCGGGCGCGGGCACTGGGGCCTTCGGTGGAGTCCCCTATGGGGCCACGAAACGTGTGAGGGATGTGCCGAAATGGGTGTGGGTGACGCATGCGGGCGCGGGCACTGGGGCCTTCGGCGGAGCTCCCTATGGAGCCACGAAGCGTGTGAGGGGTGTGCCGAAATAGGTATGGCCGACGCATGCGGGCGCGGGCACTGGGGCCTTCGGCGGAGCGCCCTATGAAGCCGCGAAGCGTGTGAGGGGTGTGCCGAAATGGGTGTGGCTGACGCATGCATGCGGGCGCGGGCACTGGGGCCTTCGGTGGAGCTCCCTATGGAGCCACGAAACGTGTGAGGGGTGTGCCGAAATGGGTGTGGGCGACGCATGCGGGCGACTGCCCTGTGGACTGATGGAGCCACGAAACGTGTGAGGGGTGTGCCGAAATGGGCGTGGGTGACGCATGCGGGCGCGGGCACTGGGGCCTTCGGTGGAGCTCCCTATGGAGCCACGAAACGTGTGAGGGGTGTGCCGAAATGGGTGTGGGTGACGCATGCGGGCGCGGGCACTGGGGCCTTCGGTGGAGCTCCCTATGGGGCCACGAAACGTGTGAGGGGTGTGCCGAATTGAGCGTGGGTGACGCATGCGGGCGCGGGCACTGGGGCCTTCGGTGGAGCTCCCTATGGAGCCGCGAAACGTGTGAGGGGCGTGCCGAATTGGGTGTGGGTGACGCATGCGGGCGCGGGCACTGGGGCCTTCGGTGGAGCCCCCTATGGGGTCACGAAACGGTGTACTGGGTGGGTGAAGAGGAGAGGGGGAGAGGAGGAGAGGAGAGGAAAGGAGGAGAAGAAAGGAGAGGAGAGGAGAGGAGAGGAACGCGGGGCACCGTCTCTTCAAAACGATGACCCAACACCACAGGATGGTTGGGAAACAACACCAATTTCGCTAGGGACATCCTCAAACAAACAAGGCGAGCAAAATGATGCAATAAAAAACAACTTCCGGAAACCAATATCGAAAACATCGATTTCGCTCGTGAGATCCTCAAACAAAAAAACACTAGGTTTAAGCTCCAGAGCACAATTCGCACATTTCAGAAAATCATTGTTTTTCTTGTAATGAAAAACAACAAGCCAACTATTTTCAAACACACACACACACACACACACACACACACGCATTCCAGAATTCCTGAAAATCCCAGGTCCGAGGCTGACCGAGAGCGGTCCGAGAGCGGTCCGAGAGCGGACCCATGGGCCAGGATGGGCCCAGGATGGGCCCCATGGGCCAGGATGGGCCCAGAGCGGGCCGAAAGCCCAAATCTGACTACAAAGTCGAAGGCATGGTTTGTTTCTCTCTCATCAGCTGCGGTTGAGAGATCGCGGTCGCCTCTGCGTCATCTCAAGGGTTGGGCTGCTCAAGCGGCCATCAGAATCATCCTCTCCATCTCAGGCTCGGAAATGCGGAACTGGGCCGGCGCGGGGACCGCTGCTGCTTGCGGCAGGCGTCGACGCATAAAACGAAGATGCCGACGCGCCCAAACCCAGCGTGTCCGAAGCCTCGTTCATGGCAAGCCTGAACTCCTCTGGATCCGTCTCGTCTGGTCACCCCGTCTCGCCTGGCCCTCGCAAGGCAAGAGGGGCGGACCAGACAAGACGGGAGGGCCACGCAAGCCGGGAGGGGGGGATCTCAGGATTAGGATTGGAGAAGCAACGATGGGAGGGGGGCCGAGGAGGATTGGCGAGGGGGAGGAGGAGGAGGAGGAGGAGGAGCCAGGACCACTTTTGAGAATTGTCAAGGGGAATAGGGGGAGGAGGAAGTAGGATGAGGAGGAAGAGGAGACTACGACTACTTGAGGAGACTATGAGGGGGGGGGGGGAGGAGGAAGAGGAGTAGAAGCATGAGGAGGACCACTTGAGGAGACTATGAGGAGGGGGGGAAGAGTAGGGGGAGGAGGAGGAGGAAAAGGAGGAAGAGGATGAAGAGGTCATCCCCCCTAGTGGTTTCACGCCTGCCTCCCTAATGGTTTTACGTCTGCCACCCCTAATGATTTTACGCCTGCCCCCCTAGTAGGTTCACGTTTGCCCCCCCCCCCCTCCATCTGCCCCCAAAAAATGGCAGTGTAGTCGTTGTGTCGCCGCTGCCTTGCGCGGACCTCCCTCCTCCCACCGCTTTCTCCCCCCCCTCCTCCTCCTCGGAGATCCCTCGAGCGTCCCCCTGCTGACATTGCTTTGCAAGCTCCAAAGACGCGTCGTCGTCGTCCGTGGAGTTTCGCCCCTGGTCGACTCGAGTTTCGCCCGCCTCGATGCAATTCCCGTCGACTCAGCTCTCTATAGCGCGCCATCGAGCCGCGAGCTCGCGCCGTGGAGAACGGGCCGAAAGAGACGCCGACGACGGGTGAAATTGGAATCACCAGGTCCTCTGCTGCGGCGACGGCCGCCCTAGCGAGTCCCCCCATGCAGGGTCTTCGCCGGATCCAGGCCCTTGAGTCCCTGGTGGTCCTTCATGGCGTTCAGGGGCCAGCGACTAGCCATCTCCTCGCCCTCCCCGTTGATTTTCTGGTCCTCCTGGGAATCAATAGCCGCGGCCTCTTCCTCGTGGGGGTTCTTCTCGGCGTTCGGGAGAGGCTCTCGCTCAGGCCCGCGTTTCCACCAGATGCTGTTCTCCAGGGCCAGAGGTGTCCACCGCGCTGTCATGCTCGCGCGGGGGCTCTGACCCCGCGGTCTCCGCGGCATCGGGCGGGGGCCCTGGCGGCAAACGCCCCCCGCCAAGTATCAGAATCGGGGCGGGTGTTGGAAGGCAGTGTGCTCCAACATCAGAATCGGGGGTTTCTGCTTCATCGTGAGATTCGAAGGTTCTGGAAGACCTCGGCGAGGTCGCTTCGCATCTGGCTCCTCCGACGGCCCCCGCCCCATGTGTTCAAACCACCCTGCCCCATTGGAAGTGTGAGCAGCTTGTGACGCACGCCAATGCCACTCTCGGGGGGCTCCCTGACTCGCGCGCAACTCCGGCGCGATAGAACTCGAACGCGGTGATCACTCTGCGGCAAAATTGCGCTGGATAGCCTCGAATGCCTGGCTGGGAGACGGCTTCGGGGGGACAAGAGGGCGGCGAAGGTGGGGCGGATCCAGAGAGAGGAGGGAGGAGGGATTGGGGAGGGCTTGGAGTAGCGGATACCCTGGGCGCTGTTGATTGGGACGGGGGCATTGGGGCTCGCATTGAAAAATCTCTTTTGCTTGCTTGGCCCAGGGTAGGGTTTATCAGGGTGCGTGTGTGTGTGTGTGCGTGTGTGTGTGTGTGTGTGTGCGTGTGCGTGTGCGCGTGCGCGTGCGCGTGCGTGTGCGCGTGCGCGTGCGCGTGCGCGTGCGCGTGCGTGTGCGTGTGCGCGTGCGTGTGCGTGTGCGTGTGCGTGTGCGTGTGCGTGTGCGTGTGCGTGTGCGTGTGCGTGCGTGCGTGTGCGTGTGCGTGTGCGTGTGCGTGCGTGCGTGCGTGCGTGCGTGCGCGCGTCTGCGTGTGGTGGTGGTGGTGGTGGTGTGTGCGTGCGCGTGTGTGTGTGTGTGCGTGTGTGTGAATGTGTGTGTGTGCGTGTGTGTGTGTGTGCGTGTGTGGTGCGTGCGTGTGTGTGTGTTGTGTGTGTGTGTGTGTTTGTGTGTGTGTGTGTGTGTGCGTGTGCGCGTGTGCGTGCGCGCGCGCGCGCGGGGCGGGGCGGGGCGGGGGGGGGGGGGGGGGCGCGGGGGGGGGGTCGAACGCAGCATGCGCCCCATCGAGTTTTTGAACGAAAGCAGGCCTTTCTTGGAATAGCGCCGAGTCGAACCAACGCCCTCCAGTCTCTTGCGCCCCCGGCCTCGGTGTAGACAAGGCGTGCTTAGGAGGGCAATCCGCCGCCGTGAGCTCGGGGCGCACAGGGCGGCGCGCGGCATGCCGCCCCCGCCCGAGTTGAAATTGCACGGCGACGCAGCAGCGCCGAGAAGAAAAGAAAAAATAGGGGGGCGCATGCGAACCCTACCCCTACCCCCCCCCCCCCCCACAC